CCTCCAATCCGGATTCTATCATTGTCTCGTAGATCCGTTGCTTATCTTTCTAGTTGACCGATTTCACTCGTGTCCAGCCCCTGTGTGCATTTCACTCATTGGCGCTATTTCTCCAGGCCCTAGAAGCACATACACTGCCGCTTCACTGAGCGAAGCGCTTAAGCTCTGATTGCCATGCTTGCAGATATCAGGCCTTCACTACACTGGTCGTCTCCTTGATTAAACACATGTTATCTGAGCAAAATGTGCCCGCCTATCTCTGGTCGCATGCGGCATCCCAAGTGGATTTCTAGTGCATTTTGGCCAGAACCCCTAATTTCTATGACGGTGTGCTTATCCGTCAGCCCCGCTCCCTAACTGCCATAACTGCGACCATAACAGAGGCCACAACATCTTGGTCTTTATATATTCAAACAAATTTATAATTTCTAAAAGTAATCCTTGTTAGATAATTTTGTATAAATGGAAAATATTTTAAATGTTTATAATAAAACAGAATTTCTATCGAAAAGAAAGCATCTAGAATCTTTAAAAAATTAATAATTTAACTGTAACAACAAATAAAAAGAATTATAAATGTATACTTAGGGTAAAGATACTATTACTGGGAGTCTCGAAGACCTACTTATTGACGAAAAAAGAAACATTTACTTGGTCATGTATCCAGCTCCCAATCTAAATTTTAACAAAGATCAACAACCCTAAATTAATCAACTCAAGCAGTTGGTACAAAATAGAAGAAATTACGAAAAATCCAGCAAAAAAAGTTCGGCTGTACAGATTAACGACTACCTGAAATATATTAACCGGAGGTCACTAATGTAAAATTATGGGAAGACTAAAAAATTACTGCCCCAGTCCAGTCCATAAAGAACAAGAAAATAAGGAAAGATGCAAATGTTCCAGAAGAGCTAATAATTGTTGCAAGCCCTTGGTGAATTCTAACTTGGCGCTTTGAAAATGTCATGCACTCTCGGATTTATGACTAAGTAGGATAATTGAAATATGTTCATCCTTTCTGGATGCCTCAAGCCTGAATGAATGAAAAATCCAACCGATAAAGGCAAAAAAATTTGCAACGGCAACTTTAACTAGTGATAACTTAAAAAATATATGCCTGAATTAAGAAGAAATACAAAAAAACAATAAAGTTTTGGCACCAACTTTAAGTCGAGTACGATTGAACATGTTCGGGCGTCCAAACTGGTGCTGTAATGAGATTGGTTGTTCAAAATGCTTGCTGTAACTGTCAAGCTGCAAATCCCCATGTCGGAGCCGGGTAATAACCTCGGCAGCCCCGGCATCGGCCCACTCCTGATAGCGCAGCAAACCGAATTTCCATTGTGGCCAGAGTCGAAGAAGACGCGATCGAACAAACTCATAGACTTCTAAATTACGATCCCACAGAGGATTGACAAGGTCAAGCAAATTCGGTAGAGAATCTATGTTTATCTGGCCGGAAAAAAGCGACGATGCAAGAACAAAAGCAACAAAAAACGGTTCGGATATTTCTGAGTGAAACATGAGCAAAAGAATTTCACACATTTTAACGCTCTCCGCAATTCCAAAATTCGAAAGAGGGTCAACATGAGGATTAATTCAAATACATTAATATGTAAGATAAAACAAAGATATATTCCCTTGAAATCAGTCTGCGACAGTGGACCTCTGGAAAATAAGCATGAATGTAAATAAAGTAGTGTCTAACGGCTTAGCAAATTTGGTCACAGTGACATTAGCAAGCATGATAGTTAAGCTTCCTACGATGACTTAATGAGAAGGCATTATTTATCTCCTGGTTCAATGTCCAGATTGGACCGCGTCTCAAGCTGGATTTGAATACGAATCTTCTGCTCAAGTACAGGATATTACAATTTTATCATAAAATTTGTAGAAGTATCATAAATAAGCATAGGTTACATCAAAAACAAGGAAAACCTCAGTGCAGGTTTAGTCTATATGATATAAAAATAATAGAAGACACAAGTCTTGGAAAAAATAATGAAGCACAGAATTAATGTAGGCGACAAATATCTTCAGCACCTCGTTCCCGTCAAAGTATATCTGATATAGGCAATATGAAGAGCAAGATGTTGTGGTAACTAGTCTCATATATTTCTGGTTGATACTGGAGATAATGATGAGCTCCACAAGAATGACTTATAGAACGTTTCTGTCGTTTTGAAGAGAAAATGCAGCCCTTTCTTGAGGATCATAACGGTTTCGGGAGCAAGAGAAATCAAGGATAAATTCATCCAAATGATCGGTATAGTAGTGAATTTACCCTGAATTACTCTTGATCAGGAAACCACCATGATCCTCGAGAAGGGCTGAATTTTTCTCTTAAAAACGACAAAAACGTTGTATAAGACATCATTGTAGAGGTGATGAAAGAATCCCATTCGCGATGAAAGTAGAAGAGCACTTACCTTTCCAGGGTTGTTAAAGTTATCCGATCGAATAGGACAATCAGGAGAAAATTGTTCAGAAAGTAGTCAGATGCAGGAATAATACTCAATTTCAAGTCTCACCAAAATTACAGACTAAAGATCGGAATAATGAAAGGCATGATCATCAGAAGCTTAAGATTAATGGACGTGGAACAATGGAATGAAGACTTGAACAAATTGACTCAGATGTTCCTCGGCAGCGGATACCCGGGAGAAGTAATACAAAGCCGATGGCAGGACGGGGATTATTAAGAAAAAATAAGAATAGGAAGGACTCACAAGATGGGATATGCTTATGATAGTTGTTTGAGCTTGTTTTTTCAACTTGGTCACATTGGGAGCGAGACCTAGAGGAACGTAAGTAATAAATTGAGATAGTGTAGGATTGATAAAAGGATAGAGAATATGTGGCTACCTCAGAACAGAAGAGGCAGCACAACTGTTTAGCAGACAATTGGACAAAGGATTGACATTACTTGTCCCTTTGACGAGTTGTAGTGCGGTGCTAAGAATGACAAGGCTCACTGACGAGGCCGGAGAAGCGTCTGGGAATATACAAAGTCCACGGTTCGACTCTGGATATTACCATGCATACTATAGACAAGGTGTTTTTTCCTAGGTCTACTAGCCAATATGACCAAGTTGCAAAAACAAGATCAAACAACTAATATACATCGAAAGGAGATTGCGACCCAAATAGAGGCCACAAAATCTTGGCCTTCGTATTTATGAATATGCTTATCTTCCCATAAATTAACTCAAAAACCACAGCTACTAAGAAAATGGAATATTCAGGTAACCCCAAAAGAATAAAAACCAAAAATATGAAATAGGGGAACACCTTGCACAAACTGGACAAGAGATCAATGGAAATCAACAGAAAAAAGGCCTCTTAAAGTGAAAACACAAGGAAATGGAAGATTATGGATGGGGTTGACAACCTCGTGGAAAGTAATTTAATGAACAGATTGGAAAAAAAGGCAAAGGTAGTGAGAAACAAGGATAGAGCAATACCAGCGAAAAGGAGGCGCCTGAATCAAGAGCCCATCGTTAATCGGAAGGATCGTTATGAATAATCGGGTGAGGAAACATTGGAACTTAAGAGGACATTATCGGTGATTTTAGTCTGACCGAAGAAACAACTAAATCTTTGAGGTTCCAGCGGTCAGGGGAATAGGAAGACGGATAATCACAACCGCCATAGATATTCGACAGCATGGACCAAATTAACTAAAAAATACACTCGAGAGGCAGTTGGTGACAAGATATAGACGTTCAGTCTGCCCAGGGCATGTGTTAAATTAAGATGAACCGAGGATACAATGCCTGCGATCTGCAAGCATGAGAATAAAAACATAGGCGCTCTGCTCAGTGAGGCGACGGTATAGGTGATATTAAAGGATTGCTAAATAGCGCCTGGAGTAGTACGTATACTGGTACTGGAACCAAGTGAGATCAGTCAACTAGAAAGATAAGCGAATCTACGAAAATGGGTTAGTTTTCGTTTAATCTAGTAGGGGTGACACTGAGACCTTGTAGAGCATACCTAATCCTGAGTCCCATGAAATAGTAGACATGATACTAAACCAGCGTCTGATAGTTTGCATTAACAAACTTCGCATGTATGATCAATGAGAGGCGGCATCATTAGCACCGATTTAAAACTCGTCTAGGTGGCAAGTAAAGACAATCCGGCGCCTAAATCAATGGAAGTGATTAAAATAAAACCCAAGGTCATAATTGAATCGAAAATAGTGTTCCGAAATCGGGTATGCTTAAAACGATACTCAAGCCAGCTAGCTTACAAACAAGGACGCTGATAGGAATGCCATTCATTTCCTAATAGAATTGGTTTATGCAGATCAAGGTGTGGCCCTCGATATGGTAGCAGTCTCGTTTCAATTTATAGAATTGGGTTGACCTCATTTTCTCACCTTGGTCTTGTTGTCAGGGGAGCTTAGATGAACGCATCTTCTCCGAAGTCCTCTCTCATAGTAGTTCACAGCATCAGACCGTCGACTTTTTCAGACTTTCGCAGCATCGTAGTTAGCAACATCAGTGAGTCTTGCCATTCTCCGCAGTAAGCTACAAACCCGTCAGAGACAAGTGAAGTCAATACTTCGATCAACGTACTACCAAAACGGTAACAGTATGATTCTTCTTTATGTGCTGGCCCAACTATTTGTTCCCCACCCTCTTATTCAACTCCCGCCTTATCACATACCACCCGTCAAAATGTGTGCCTTTTTGGGAAATTAGTGTGGCCTCATTACACGGAGCGGACGTGGTACATTCCCAGACCTTTCGCCGGCATCGTCAGTGAGTCTTGCCATATTTAGCACCATACAACAACTCGTCAAAAAGACAAGTGAAGCCGATACTTTGAACAAATGTGTGCTAAACGGTAGTGGTATCTCCACTTCTGTCATTGGCTATTTATCTATCCTATATCCTTGTATCACACCTTCACTATCAAAATTTTTTCCTTGCTTATTAAAATGTAGTGTAGTGTGTCCTTTTGAGTGGCTTTCATGAGAACCCTCCAGACTCCACGCCGGCGGACAGATTTCAACTTGGATTTTATGAAAATCAGATCAGGAATCAGGACGACCAGAAGTCGATTTGCCTATCCTCATCAGAACTGGGCAAACAATTGCGACCGTCACTAAGTAAATGGAATATCAAGGTGATAACAAAGGAGAAGAATACACTTTTCACCAGTCTGGCGACGCAACACAAGACGGACAAACTTGATTTCTCTGGAGTTTATTGTATCATATGCAGCAACTGTGAGCAGAAGTATATCGGTGAAACAGGAATAAAAATCGGCCTACGAATCAAGAAAGATCCAAGACTCTGCCGGAACATGGATATGGAGATATCAGAAATAGCGGAACACGTTGCACGACCGGGACACGAAATCTAGTGGATTCGACAGATAGGCTGGCTGCATATAATGAAAATACGAGAATACGCAATATCCGAGAGGACATCGATATACTGGCCAAGATAAATGTAATGAACAGGAGACTTGAAGAAAGCAGGATCAGCGGAAACTTTTCATATTTCCTAAACAACCTAGTAGAAGACCAGGCAACAGTAAGATCAACAAAAAGAAGACCCTCGATCAAAAAGAAGACGACTGAATCAAGGTAACATCCTTAATTTTAGGAAAAGAAATCGCGGGGGGACCAGAAAGGAACAATTAGAAGCCAAGATGATATGTCTTCAGTGAGCCTAATCAAAACAAGAAGAACCACAACATTTGTAGGTTGGCAAACAAGAGACTAGGTCAGAGGAAGTGATAGACATGATATTAGGAATAAAAACAGGATAGACGAGACTAGAGCTATTTGGCTAACAATAGACGTGTTTGATCATAGACGTAATTCATGAAGCACGTTTTTTTACTCAACTAGTTCTAACCCCCCCTGCATCTATCCTGTCTAGGATGTGCTATGCTCTAGTCTCTTGTATGCCAAACCACAAACGTTGTGGTTAAACATTAAACCTAATCAAAGCAAACAGTACCCCAACATTTTTAGATTGACACACAAGAGACTAAGGAATAGCAAGTCATAAGCTTGGTATTACGGATAAAAAAACACGCTTGACGCGGCGAAGACTATAGCTAGTTGATTGCCAGTAAGCCTATTTTAATATAGATGTGGTCCATGTAGCAAAGGCTTGATCATTTGACTTACTCAGAGACTTGAGCCTTGATTTATTCACACAGGCGCAGGGGATAGGTAATAACGCCTCAAGTAGCACAGATGGTATGGCAGGCGTCGAGTGAAATACTTGAACCTGGGAGATAGCAGACGGATCCTACGGTGCATGAGGTAGACTCTGATAAGACCTATGGAAGGAGAACTGTGTTACAATAGGGCTGTTTATATACCTACTACCAAGGCTATGACTTGCTATGCACTAGTCTCTTGTGTGCAAAACCCCAAATGATGTGATACTGCTCATTTTGATTAGGTTCATCAACATGGCAGACTCTGATCAACATTCCCAGCACAAAGATGAAGGGGGGTGTAACGCTAGCATGGAGTGTGGAGGGTTCTCATT